AAAACTAACCAGATAATTTGTTTGTAATATCTCCTGGTTTTAACAAATCTCTTTCTCTTTCTTCTCTATAAAATTCTACTTGGCTATAAATATCACTGTCATCACTAGGCGTAGCTCTATTGTCGGCAAACTGTTCGTTTAATCCTGTATCTCCAAGATCACCATCAGGAGTTAACTGTTCATACGATTCGGAACCACTTCTGAAAGTTACAGACATACTGCTTCACATTAGATTTTTGAAGTACAAAGAAATTTTTATATAAATCATAATTGATTAGGTGATGTTTTAAAGAATCTTTTTCAGATTACCTACCCATCGTCCGGTGTTTGAAGGTGGTAACTTTCATGTCGTGGGGGTGGCATAGGATGTAATGCAGAGTATTCCAAAGTTCCTTCGCCACTATCATTCAGATTACCCGGTTCTTCCATATTAAATGCTTGTTCAATTTCAGGTTTTTTCTCCCATACTTCTTTGAAGAATGGAGTATAAAATGCCGCTGGAGTATAAAAATAAACATGATATAAAGTTAAACTAAGAAATTAAAAATTTAAACGTAATTTACTCTTAAATACTGTAACATACTTTTCTGTTGGCAACTGGATGCTGATGTCATAAAATGTGCTTGTAATTTATCCGCAATTGCATTTCCTTCCGTAATAAGTAAATGACTTAAGTCATTACTGAAGAAAGCATTAGCACCTCCAGTGTCAGTCACAGCCATTATTTGTATCGGTAAGTTTGGTATATTCATGGAAAATGCACTATGAAAAAGATATAAATTAAAATAAAATAGTTTTGAAACATACAAAAATGATTATATACGTACTTAAGAGTTGCGAGTGATGCTTTCCTTTTTGTAGAATAAACTAGTATAAAACCATGTACTAACTCGTCCCTAAATGCATTTGCCCCGTGAAAACTTGAAATAATAACTTCAACTCTTCGTTTCGACTCCCCTAGAAATGTTTCTAAAACAATCGATCGGTCGCCACTAAGGAAACAACATTGATGATTGAGTAGAGGACCGAGTACATTTTCGACGGAATATGGATCCCCACAGAACATACACATTATTATTCTAAAATAAAAGTAATATTGATATTTTTCTTTTTCTCCTTAACACATAATATAATCTACTTCACCTAATATCCGGTTCTAAACATTCAATAACACTTTGGTAAATATTTAAAAAACCAGCTCTATGATTTATAGACTGTATAAGTTGTTGCAATGCGTCTTTCACAAGCGGAGCAGGAAACCTTTTATCTTGCTCCAAATCCTCTATACAGACATCAATAAATGGACACTGTAAACTGGTATAAAAATTGATGGTTAATTCTTTTTCTATTTACAACATAATATAAGGTACACGAGTAATTAGTACCTATCAGCAAGATTTTGACCCTCTTTCCTAAGTCGTATTGCTTCCATTTCATCTATAGTTGATTCTGGCACAAACATAATAACAATAGGTAATCCTTGAAATGGTAACCTATCTTCCTGTTCTAAATTCGACAATAAAGTCTTTTCTAAAGAAGAACGGATATATTCAAACGAATAATCATCTGCGTAAATGCAGAATGACCCTATAAATATAAAATCCTTTTAGAATTCTATTCTAATATATCTATACTCAATAACTATAGCATCGTAACATACCGTGAGGCATAAAGTCAGAAGTGGTAAATGAATTGTGTGGTAGTCCGACGTCACCATCGATTATTCGATATCCAAGCGTATATAACTGACAATCAATTTCTACTTCGTCGTCCTCCGTTTGTGCTCTTATTTCACGAGCAAATTCTTCGCCAAGTCCACTGCTTCCAAGTATGACTAAATTTAATTGATTGTTATCAGATGTTAATTGCCACTGACTACTATGATTCCATGAAGAAGGCCTAAAAAAAAATCCATTATTTTAATAATAATGAAATAATAATTCAATCATTCAATTTTTTTTTATCTAAAAAAAAATTTACCTGTGAGCTTTCGTTCCAAGTATTCGTTCTATAAGTGCATCCATGCAATTTGGATAAGCTGGACAATGTTCCCTTATAGGACAATGTACAAAACCCAAATGTTGAAAAAGCATTAATTTTCTATCTTGATCTAGTCTATCTAAAGCCTTATACCTGTATAAACCACAAGAAATCATTCAAAAATATCTACAAATTTGGGACAAAAAATGTTTAATTAATAAGTTTAATTAATTACCTAAAATCATCCACCAATGCATCTGTTATTTCTTTAATATCATCTTGTGTTATAGTACCAGTTGGTGCTATACTTTTAAAATGATAGAACAAATCAGCATGTTCTAGTAATAATTCCTAAAATATAAAAAATCAGAAAATACAATAGTCTATTATTATTATTATTATTATTATTATTATTATTATTATTTATAATAAAATATGTATCCTTACTTGGAAATTATGTTTTGCTTTTTCAATAATTTCCTTTTGATGTTGATCATATATTTCTTGACAATCATGATGCGAAAGAGCTTCAAAGCATTCTCTGCCCATAAAAAGAACTCTAACTTCAGACAAATGCTTTCCTGGAGTAACATAGCCAGTTTCTTCTAACAATTGTTTAAATTGCTTTTTCCATCTAATAAATAATATTTTTGTATAAATATTATAATATTATAATATCTTTACTAAAATATAGAATAGTTTATAGAATATTCATTTATAAAGTTTTAAATATACCAAAATACATATATATAAAAAACTACAAAAATGTTAGTATAGCTAATTATGTTTCTAAAGAAATTATATCCTAGTGTACAAAGCGATAAGAAGCACAATTTACCTTTTAGGAAGTCTGCACAAAATAAACGCCACCCAGAATAAAGCAAAGCATTAGTATATTGCACATAAATATTATTATCTAAAATGCTGAATGACTATGTAACTTTAATAACTATGTTAAAGCATGTAAAAAAAGAACTAATATTCATTTGCTATTTATAGATAGCAAAATTTCAGCAGATCAGAATTATAATAATCAAGAAATATTTGCATATATATGTAATACTTACTCTAATCGCCGCTGTTCTTGTTGCAATATATTTATATGATTTTTGAAAACGGTTTCGGCTTCTGGTGTTTCTAAAACATCGTAAGGAATTTTTGTTCCATTGTTTTCACCAAAATCACAATCAATCCACGGGATATCCTCAGGACATTCATAAAAATATTGATGAAAATCAGGATGTTCTTTTATATACTGTTGTACTGCAGACCACTCTCTATATAAATAAAATATATAGATTTAATAAAACAACATCTTTCTATCATAACTAAAAAATTTTAATTCGAAACATACTCATTAATCAAATTTGTTACATCAGGACATATTTCATGAAGAATATCAGGTAACATATCTAAATATCCCTGAATCTTCTTTGCCACTTGTTCATCTTTTAATTTTTTAATATGTCTCCTAAATAATCTTTGGGTTGCATCAATACCAAACAATTCCACAAATGTTGAAAATTCTTTATGTTGCGCTAACTTTTTAGATGCTTGAGACCATAGTGCTCTATAGTCAGTAACGTGCACTCGAATCAATCTTTGTAAAGATTCTGTAGATGCATCCAGTAATTCTTTTCTGGCTCTAGCCGCTTCTGCAAACGGTGTTACTTTGCTGCGCATTTTGGTTTTATCAATCAATTGAGCCAAAATCATAAATGCCAAATCAATATTAATATTTTCATGTGCAGATGTTTCAACTATTAAAATGGAACCTTTATATTCTTTACGCATTATTAATTTTTCAGCTTCTTTTACATATTGTTCATTAGCATCATCATTTTTAGTTGTTACCAAAACTATTGGTTTTTTAGTCTTCATTAAACTGTTCAATATATTGGCTACTATTTCAATCTGTTTTTCTATAGATCTATTTGGTACAACGCTTACATCAAATACACACAAAAAACCATCAATATTTAATTTACCATCGGGTAAAACTTTTTGTTCATATTCTTTTTCTATGCCTAACTGATTTTTGCAAATATACATAAGCTTCTCTGCACTAGTAATTTTTGTGGCTGCACATCTTTTCGCATATGGTTCCATTTTACCACCCTTAAAAGGTTGAAATGATGCATCATCTATAAACTCTGTATGTTCTATCACTTGAAATTGATACTCTGTTCCATCCTCTGCTGTTTTTGTAACTTCACCCCAATATAAGAAATGATCATTATTTACCACCCGACCACTAAAATCTGACTGTAAAACATATTATTCAATTAATAAGATATTCATTAATGCAAAGCTTACAAATATTCTTAATAGAATATGTATTTATTAATTACCTGTGATAACACTGATATATGGTCCACATTATAATCATCGTTCAAAGAACGCATAAAACGATTACAGAGACATGACTTTCCAACACCAACTTGTCCTTTATCTTTCTCAGTACCAGAAAGACCAACAATAGCAACATTGATGGTTTTGATATTATCACTTTTCCTTGCCATTTTTAAAGCTTAATTTTAGATCACTTATGTAATTAAATGTGAAAATAAAAATCTTTTTTTTGTCAAACTTTACTCAGGACATTTTTAAGTACCACTATCAATAGTTTCTCTTATTCATTTATCTTTGCAATTATTAAACATGAGTATGTCTCCCTTTGGTCATTATATCAAGTCTAAAAATTTATATGAAAATCAATATTACCTCCCTTTGGTAACATTTTCAATAATGTGCTCTTTTATTCTTCCCGATTCTTTTACAACATTGATATATCATACCTCAAACTTTTGTACGACATGTAAATGTATATATGAATTATTATAAACAAATGTCATTTGCCAAATTTTCATTTGAGCTTTGTTAATACAATTGTTATTATTGTAGTTTTATGAATGACAAACTAATATTACTAAAAATTAGTGATACAGATTTTGAGACAAGTAACCTTCAAATTTTATCTCTCTCTATAAAGCACAGCATTCATAATTTAGCACAACTGTGAGCAATGGTTCTTTGGAATGGCACTGTGTATCTGAAAAAAAATAATGTTTGCAAATAAACGAACTAACAAACAGCATCATCAAATGTTAGTTACACTTGTATTTGCACTTATATCTTTTGTTATGGAAATTAGATTAAATATTCATGAGTATTCACTGTCTGAAATTCACATTAATAAGATATATAAAATTACATATGGAAATGTGTTCATCACATGTATATGCATCATAAATTACATTAGGAAATACACTTCATGTTAATGAAACAAGAGGTGAATCAAATGACAAGCAAACACTCAACACAAAATTAATTTTCACGTCAACTGAATTTCATGATGGATGAAAATATATTATTTTTTATATTATGCAGGTTATGGATTCAACGAGGTAAGACATCAAAAACCTTTTCAAAACGCATTTTTATGTTAACCTCCATATATACATATAGTAAGACTTTTACAACTTTTCAATAATCAAAAAATTGACACGATAATAATCTTCATATATCGTGTTTAAAAATAATTCCAAATACCGTTACAGCAATTTATTGTTAAAACGCAAAAGAAAATATTTCATCATAACGACGAAGTATTTCCATCGCGATGTAATAAATAGTTATATTTCGAATTAGGATGACTAAGTAAGGGCTTAAACTCGATGCTAAAATTTACAAGATGTGATTCATGCAGCAGAAACAAATTATTCGATATATAAATGACAGCTACGAATAGATCAATATGCATTGTACACAACCGCGGTCAATTTTGACACCGATGATAATGCCCGGGTTTCGACAAATTTCGATTAGATATAGACGACCAGCGTACATGACACTCTATAAGTTATCCAAGCAAAATCAGAAAATTAATCAGAATATCTTATTCGGCGTAGCGAAGGTTACGATACCTGTACAGATTTTTGTTCGGCAAGCGAGCTATGTATTACACCAACCGGCCGTCCCGTATAATTTTTTTCTTCAGGAACTCGATCGATTCTTCACTGCTACAGAGCACGCACTCTTTCTTGATCTGTTTCACGCACACCGTGCATCGAAAGACATCCACAACTTGTCTCAATGGACGTTTAATTCCAGGTGTGTAAATAACTTCACGTCAAACATCGAGTATTGCCCCATAAAGGAGCCATCTTGGTGGGTGGGCACAAGGCGATTAATGTTTTCAGGATAGATCGTACACGTCGAACAAGAACAAGGCCGTATCTAGCATACTTCCTATGATTCATTGTATTTTAAAACAAATTTTTTTTCTGATGGACAAATTATTAAATTGTATTTATTTTTCATCCTCATTTAATTAAACATAAAATCCATTATTGAAATCCGTTCTCCTGAATCTCTTCATCATAAAACGTGTAAATAAGTATATCACTCTAAGAATAGCTCGAATATACTTTAAAATAAGTAAAAATATTATATTTTTTAAATCTTTAAATACTCTGGCGAAATAAACTGTTACAGTGAGATTGTCACGTTGCCTAAATTAGGAAACAATTTTTTCGTATAATTATTATTTATTTAAATTAATCAATTATTTACGAATAGTATCGACAAAAAGCACCTAGTCGTAAGCGCATCGTGATTACGCTCCTGTAATAGCATAAAGACACCACCTGTCGTTTGACAAACGCACTAGTTTGACTTGGGATCGAAAATGGCTGACAGTGGGGATGCTGTGAACAGTTCGTCGTCTGGAAAAGATGCTAGAAATACCGTCACCGATGGCCCTGTCACCGATCCAGCATCAAGTAACAAGGTAAATTGAAGAATACTATCGACAAACAATTAAATAAACATTATCAACTTTGATAATGTAAAATCACGACAGTGTATTGCCACGAGTATTGTATTTACCGCCGTACTAGTTTCTGGCTAATTGAATTAATCCTATAAGAATAAAATATTTCTTCTTTAATTTACACCTTCGTTTTCATCAAAGGACAATAATTCAATAAAAATACTGAACTCTTTTCATTTCATTCGTTTCTGTCTTTTCATTTTATTAAATTATTTGTAATATGTCTTTCATTTATCTTTATCTTCTTTTACCTGTGTTTTGTTTTTTCTGTCACGTCTCAGCCCAACCCTTTTAGGTCTTATGACCACATGTTGCTATTATGTAATGCAACACATGGTACTAATTAATGTATCGTCTTGTATATACCTTCTGTTAACTGTCAAACAAATAACTTCCTTCTACTGTTGTTGCTGACAACTGAACCCCATCATGAAATAACTTCAAGATAAATGTATTGTTAAAAATACTGAATGCTAACTCAATTTATTGATTGAACTTAAATTCTGTTTTATTCATTATAAGTTAAAATGATGAGTTATGGCATAATATATGCTAATATTGTAAATATATGTAATAATATTATTGAAAGTTATTATGTAGATATGGTAATAAAAAAAATTAATAAAACATAATTTATTAACAAATAGAATATATACTTCTGCGTCAGAAATATTTTTTCATTTAAAAAGCAATTATAATTAGCAATTCATTATTACACAATATGCAGCTAATGTTATGATAATTGGCACGAAACTTACAAACAATAGATATACATGAGCTCAGCCACAAGAACAATGCATCTTCTGAGGTATTAATATTCTAAGTACTCTGTTCTATATATTCAATGTAAAAATGTTTAAAAAACTGAATACTTTTAATAATATATTAATTTTTTCAGGCAAAAGATATTTCATTTTTTTCATATATTTTATAATTTATGGCTCTTTCTATTACATATTTTTGTATGATAGTATTTTAGTATACTAACTATATCATGAAAAAAAAATATAGGTCTTCTAATATCTTCAATGGCATCAAATGCATAGTACATTATATAATTTCAACATTTATAATGCAAAAATTAAGAGGTGATTTGCATGCACACATATTGCCTGCTATCAAGGCGCTTGTATTATTTTACATATAGAGCATTATTCCCACAGTAGTCCGTAGGTTCGGTACCAATCACTCATGCATCGCTCATTATATGCCTAAATACACCATATAGGCATGGCACAATTAGCACTACTGAACCAATGCCTTGAGTACAACTGAGGAATAAATACAAAACAAAAAAGAAAAGGGGGGAGATATCTTTGTGTACGTAAAACTGATATTTTATATAAATCAAGTTTTACATACAAGTACAACCTTTGGGAGCTTTGTACCTAACTACGGACTGTATTATAAAAATTTGATCCAATTTGAATTATGAAATGGTGGTTATTGTGATTTCAGAGCCTAGAGGCATCAAATAGTGCCTTTCACGGCGCGAGAACAAAATTAGTAAGTAAGAATATATGTGTACAAAATACAAAGTAAACTTGTATTCCTTTCCATAGAGCAATCCTTGCAATTTCCTCAGGGCTGCTTTAATTCCTATGACTACATAAATACGGTATGTGCCAATGGTTTATCATTTTTGCTTTCCCATCAAATAACACAGTAATAATAAGACGATTTCCTTCTTTTTATCGCTAGACTGCAAGTATCATGAATGATATGAAATCAAATGTACGCTGAAAGTCGTCTGTATTAAACTGTGTCCATTCTATCGAATAAAATAGCTTTATTTGCATTTTTCTGTTTGTAGTCCATTTCCATCTATTGCAGCCCTTTTCAAGATGAGAAATATGTATTTCTCATAATTTTATAAGTTAATAATTTGATATTTTAAATGTTTAGGATTCCAAGTCTGGAGCCTTGAAGAAGTCTAGCCGTTATCGTAGTCGATCATTATCAGCTAGTAGCACAGACAGTTACAGCTCTGGTATGAATACGTTTATTAAAGTATTGTACTATACATTTGATTGTTATAATCCGATCATTGTTAATACGTCGCGGTTAATTTTAGCATCCTATACAGGAAGTTCATCAGACGAGGATGATGTGTCACCTCGTGAAAAAATTCAAAAAACTGAAAATGGCTTCACAGATTTCTGTGTACGCAATATTAATCAACATGCATTTGGTAGAAGAGAGATAGAAATAGCGGAACAAGAAATGCCGGGAATTATGGCACTTCGTAAACGTGCCGCTGATGATAAGGTATAGGAATTGTCTGAGCAAAAGCAAAACTAAGCGAAACTATTAACGAACATAATGAGTAATTATTTTAAACAGCCGTTGAAAAATGCTAAAATCGTGGGATGCACTCATATCAATGCTCAAACTGCTGTTCTTATTGAAACTTTAGTGCATTTGGGAGCACAAGTTAGATGGGCAGCATGTAACATATATTCTACCCAAAATGAAGTGGCTGCTGCTCTAGCTCATGCTGGTTATCCAATTTTCGCCTGGCGTGGTGAAACAGAAGAAGACTTTTGGTGGTGTATTGATAAATGTGTAGCCGCTGAAAATTGGCAACCTAACATGATACTAGATGACGGTGGAGATGCAACACATTTAATGCTCAAAAAATATAATGCTATGTTTAAAATGATTCAAGGTTTGACCATCGTTCCTCTTGTAATCAGATAGATAATATTAATAATATTAATTTTCAGGAATTGTTGAAGAGAGTGTAACAGGTGTACATAGATTATACCAACTATCAAAAGCAGGAAAATTATCCGTCCCTGCCATGAATGTCAACGATAGTGTAACAAAAACGAAATTTGATAATCTTTATAGCTGCCGTGAAAGTATTATTGATAGGTAAATCAATTATAAATCGATTATTGATATGCATCAAAAATATCTGTCAATTGCTTCTATTTAAATATTTTATTACAGCTTGAAAAGATCCACAGATATTATGTTTGGTGGAAAACAAGTTGTAATTTGCGGCTATGGTGAAGTTGGTAAAGGTTGTTGTCAAGCTCTTAAGGGTTTAGGTTGCATCGTTTATATAACTGAAATCGACCCAATTTGTGCTTTGCAAGCAAGGTGGATAATTTGAAATAAAATAAAAATATATTACATAAAGCATAATATAATTATTCATATGTGTATTCTTTATAGCATGGATGGTTTTAGAGTGATGAAATTAAACGAGGTCATCCGAAATGTAGACATTGTTATTACCGCAACCGGCAATAAAAATGTAGTTACGCGAGAACACATGGATAAAATGAAAAATGGCTGTGTGGTGTGCAATATGGGACACAGTAATACTGAAATAGATATTGTACGTCCAAATTCTAACAATATTTAATTAGTTTCTCTAAAATTTGATTGGATTTTCAATTAGAGTTTGTAGGGAAAAACTCGTATTTCTTATATTTCAGAACAAAAAGAAATATATTGATAAGACATTAAGACTCCTTTAATATGTTCTTAACAGAACAGTTTACGCACGCCCGATTTAACTTGGGAAAAAGTAAGGTCTCAAGTGGATCATGTTATCTGGCCAGATGGAAAGCGCATCGTATTATTAGCGGAAGGCCGATTAGTCAACTTGTCTTGTTCCAGCATTCCTTCATTTGTTGTGTCGATCACAGCTGCTACTCAGGCGTTAGCACTAATTGAACTTTTCAACGCACCGCCAGGGCGGTATAAAAGTGATGTTTATCTGTTACCCAAAAAAATGGGTAAGCATAAAATATTTTTATGTTCCATTATTATTCGATTAAAGTAAGCTGTAAAATAATAATATAACTCAATAGATGAGTACGTGGCATCGTTGCATTTACCAACGTTTGATGCACATTTAACAGAATTAACAGATGAACAAGCCAAATATATGGGTCTTAATAAGGCTGGACCTTTTAAGCCTAATTATTACCGGTTCGTACGATTTATATCTGAATTGAAATTAGCACTTACTTTTATTCATTTAAAATTATTATTTAAATTTATTTCAGCTATTAAAAATATGCGGATAAATAATATGGTACAGTATATTTGAAATTTACGTTTATGAGTATTAAAAAAATAGCTGGCTTCGTTTTATTGAAGTTTCTTCTATTAATTTCATTTATCCGAATTAATAGAAACATATAATAAGATATATTCTATTTTATTATTAAAGAAGAATAATATTAATAATTTCCTTATATATTCTAAAAAATATTTCCGTATGATTCCAACTAAAATATTGTCTCACCACTGGCTGCAATAATCAATCACCAGAATTTATATAAGTAAATATATATTTAATTCATAACATTCATAAGTGTATAGTAATTAATTTATGATTAAACATGCGTAAAATATGCAGCTGTTCAGTTGAATTGAAATATAAATTTGCTAAATGACAGTTTTTAACGACTTTAGCGATGTTAAGAAAAAAATTTTCTGTAAAGATCTGTATACGTAAATTATTTGTAACAGTATAGATTATGTAATTCGAAACTTTCATTAAGAATATTTTTGATTTATTAAATACTCCAGCCGTTTGAACAGTTTTAACATGAATGAATTGTAATTTTGGAAATATGTATATATATATATATATATATATA